TGGGGATGAAGGTTGTTCTAGGTTTTGGAGATGAAGGGGTTTCCGGGTTTGTGAGAAGAGTTTAACAAATGAGTTCATTTGTTGAATGAATGGTTTGTTGTGAAGAAGAAGGGTTTGGAGTGAGAGTAGGGTTTGAATAAAACTTCTTAGGTCAGGTGGGCAATACCTGACTTAATAAATATGTTTTTTAAGTCAGTTAATGAACACAGGCGACTTAAGAAATTCAATACGAATTATATTTTTTATCTTTAAGTTTTTTTAAGTCAGTTCTAAATGTAATTGACCTAACAATTTTACAAATATTTACGAAATTGCCACCGCATCACTTCTTAAGTCAGGTGGCAGGTGAACTGACTTAACAACCTCTACTATAAAGTATTTTTTCTACTAGTGCATGGGTTTAGTACTCCTTATAACAAGCTTTACGAAGGATAGCTTGAGATAAACATAATATCTCATTCATGCTCGGGACATGTAATTTTAACCTTCTACCAATTTTCTATTGTCACACCTAATCAAATGTTGATATGCATGATACGTCAATTTAAGACAAAGTGTTTTTTATATGCCTTACGTGTATAAAGTGTACGAAGAGAATATGGAACCAAATGGAGTAGAGGAGGTTGAATAGATCGTTTTGAAAAAGACCAATTTAAAAAAGTTTTGTATTTTAAAACGAGATTTTATAAAATTAATCGGCGTAGAGTAATTAAGTAAAATAGATGTCATTGAAATGATTCTATCGTATACACTTATACTCAAATGATGTCACACAGAAGATTGGGAATCCAAACCAAATTTCAATCGTAGAATTTAGAGGTCGACGACGAAGGAAAGCATCATATATATTCCCTAAACAAAAACTTAACTATTTTTAAAGAAATATCTTTCATATATCTTTGAGATTAATCTTTAAAATGAGAGAAAATACCCAATTGATTCGAGGCAATATGAAACAGTATAGTTCGGGTATTATGAGTGAACGATTTAAATCAACATTTATAGATATTAAAAGAAGACTAGTTTGGAATTCACAATAAATTCAAGTTGATATATTAGATTTTTTATTTCTTTTTTCCTTAGTATAAAAATTGATAGAATTTAATAAATATTTCAAAACTTAATATTTTCTTATCTGCTACATTCAAAATTTATTTTACTCCTTTCTCGTTTTATTATACTTTTTATTAAATATTTTTTATTAATACATTTATTCTATTGATTAAATATATATTTTTAAAAAATATTAGTTTTAATATTGTTTTTATATAACTTAAATTTAATATGTTTACATTTTGATGGGAAATGAACTATCAATATAATAACTATTTTTTAGATGTTAACAGTGGCTATATGGATGTCCGTTTTGCGATTATCAGTTTTAAGGCAAACAAATATTTCCTCAAAAGATAAAAATAAATACTACATATCGAAGTTATGGTCCAATGAAAACATATTGAATTTAATTATTACAGTTAATTAATTTTTAATTTCATTTTTATTATTCAAATAAAAAATAGTGTACACATTTTTAATTTCATATATATATATATAAAGATTTCGCTATAAAATTGATAAAACAAATTAAAATATTGAAAAAGAATAAACAAGTCGTACAACATTGCATATGCATAAGAGGTCATATATGACCTTTTTGAAATAATATAGTATACACATTGAATGTAAATCTATTTTCTTTGCACTTTAAACATGTTTTTTTGTTGTTCATATTTTTTAATGGTAAAATATTATTGTAGATACACTATAAAGCTCATATAAAAGTATAAGGATAATAGAGACACCAGACATACCAAGTCAAAAAATTACTAATAAAAACAAAAATAACCAACAACAACAATGAAGAGAAATATACACCACAAGAAAACACAACAAAAACAAGAGACAAAAAACCTTATAGAGAGAAAACTACACCAACTTTAAAATATAACGTCACCGCAACATGACCAAGCTAGAACTCGGGCTTCTTATATGCCAAAAGCAAAAAACCAAATCCACAGGAAGCAACATCAAATACAGAGAATCGGGGAGCCAAGCCAAAAATCTCGATTCCCTATTGGAGCAGACACATGAAGGGATTCTGAAGTCAATCATTGAGCCATAAAGAGTTCAACAGGAGTCTAAAATGTTGCCAACACCATGCAAAAAAACTATTCATAATTCAGATGTGGCTTTGCTACGGTTCAATTGAGTATCCCTTATAATTAATCAAGGAAATCACGGTTGAAACAAAAATTGATGGATCCATCAAATGCACTATCAAATAGGATGTAAAATCATTGTTTGTTATCCATTAAATCAAATAGCGAAATTTTAAAATCAATGTTAAATGTGGTTTTCTGGGATTAGATTAATAGATAATGGCAAAAATAAGGGGCTTTTTTGTAAATGTTATCAAACGTAGTACATTTGATTTGGATGAAAGTAATATTTACGAAGAACTAGATTAAGCTTGGATCATGAAGGAATATAAGAAATGTTAGTTGAGAATGAAAAAGAAGCGATCGTGGTTCAAGAAAACATGTAATTTCTAAACTTACGAATGAAAGAGGGTATATATAGATAGTAGCATGAGTGGGAAATTAGGGTTGTGAGAAAAATGGATTGGTGTTGATATTAGTCTCATGCTATTGATATTTTCTAGAAGCATCTAGATGGTGATGAAGTAATTACTAATTAAATATATTTTTAGATGGTTATGTTTAAATTAAAATCAAAATAATTTGTGAAGATTTTATTAATATTTAGTTTGGATTTTCGACTTTTACACATTTTAGATATCCAATGGAAAATCTGTCTTTTAATTTTTAATTTTAATTTTTGCTCTCTATATTAGTAAATTGTATCCATATACTATGTTATTTATTAATTTAATTCAATTATATAAGTAGAAAAAAATCTAATCAAAATTGTTATGTTCTTAATTTAATTTTTACTTACAACTTAACCTCACAATATATTGTTATATATGTCAGTTAGATTATATGATCAACTAAACACTATTATTAAATTGAAATATATGACCTAATTATTAATTATAATATATATATATATATATATATATATATATATATATATATATATATATATATATATATATATATATATATATATATATATATATATATATATATATATATATATATATATATATATATATATATATATATATATATATATATATATTCCAACGTTTTTTTCTTCCTTGAATCGCTGTTTATTGCTTTTTTTTTATGTGCCATTAGTTTAGTGCTCCTTATAACAAGCTTTACGAAGGATAGCTTGAGATAAACATAATATCTCATTCATGCTCGGGACATGTAATTTTAACCTTCAATCAATTTTCTATCGTCACACCTAATCAAATGTTGATCCGCATGATACGTCAATTTAAAATAAAGGGTTTTTATATGCCTTACGTGTATAAAGTGTACGAAGAGAATATGGAACCAAATGGTGTAGAGGAGGTTGAATAGATCGTTTTGAAAAAGACCAATTTAAAAAAGTTTAGTATTTTAAAACGAGATTTTATAAAATTACTCGGCGTAAAGTAATTAAGTAAAATAGATGTCATTGAAATGATTCTATCGTATACACTTATACTCAAATGATGTCAAACAGAAGATTGGGAATCCAAACCAAATTTCAATCGTAGAATTTAGAGGTTGACGACGAAGGAAAGCGTCATATATATTCCCTAAACAAAAACTTAACTATTTTTAAAGAAATATATTTCATATATCTTTGAGATTATTCTTTAAAATGAGAGAAAATACCCAATTGATTCGAGGCAATATGAAACAGTATAGTTCAGGTATTGTGCATGAACGATTTAAATCAACATTTATAGATATTAAAAGAAGTCTAATTTGGAATTTACAATAAATTCAAGTTGATTTATTAGATTTTTTATTTCTTTTTTCCTTAGTATAAAAATTGTTAGAATTTAATAAATATTTCAAAACATAATATTTTCTTATCTACTACATTCAAAATTTATTTTACTCCTTTCTAGTTTTATTATACTTTTTATTAAATATTTTTTATTAATACATTTATTCTATTGATTTAATATATATTTTTAAAAAAATATTAGTTTTAATATTGTTTTTATATAACTTAAATTTAATATGTTTACATTTTGATGGGAAATGAACTATCAATATAAGAACAATTTTTTAGATGTTAACTGTGGCTATATGGATGCCCGTTTTGCGATTTTCCGTTTTTAGGCAAACAAATATTTGCTCAAAAGATAAAAATAAATACTACATATCGAAGTTATGATCCAATGAAAACATATTGAATTTAATTATTACAGTTAATTAATTTTTAATTTCATTTTTATTATTCAAATAAAAAATATATGTATTTTAATAATAATAATTCTATAAAGATGTAGTCAAATAATAATTTAATGTATAATATACAATACTTTAATATTAATAAAAAAATTCATCATAAATGTATACAAACAAACAAAAAAAAACAATACCATAAATTTGAAAACTTATATTAAATTTTATAAAATATAATATTAATAAAAAATACAAATACTAATACGAAGTTTTTAATGTTTTAAAAAATTATCATAGTTGTTATGATGAGTGTGCTATTGGAAAATATGTAAACTTCACAAATATTAGATTTACGTGTCTAATTTGTTCTAAAATAATTCAATATTTTATTAATGATATATTTAATGTGTAAATTGTTTCAAATTCCTTTTATTTATATAATTTATATTAAGATGGTTCTTTAGAATTAGAAATAAATCATATATTTAGAAAAAAAAATATTTCTTTTGTTTTTTTTATAAAATAAATAATTTATTTTTAATAGATAATATTTAAATGACATAAAAGCAATAAAAAAAAGTGACTAAATTCCTTGTTTGCATAATTGGGGTAATTAATAATATGTTATTTTTTTGACCACCAAAGCAAAAAAGTTGGAACAACATTAACCTTTCCTTTAAGACGATGAAGAAAGGGCGAGGGCGTCCAAAATCCACGGTGCCCCCGCCACCACCATCAGTTTCAACTGCCAGTTTGACGACTCCTCAGAATGTTTCAAGAACTACACTACCATCTGACTCTAGCTTGAAGGCGCATGAGTTTGGATCAAAAGCTGAGAAAGAGAAGATAACCCTAACTGAGGAAGAAACGACACCCACAATCGAAGATGCAACTAAAGAACCTGGAATAGAAACGCCACAAGCTCAACCGGAGGATCGAAAACAATGGGTAGACATTATAAATGACAACCGGAATCCTTCTAAGGGACTGACAATGGAATACGTCGCACCAAAAGTAGTCAACGGAATGATTGAGATCGCTATTGAACAAGAAGATATCGAAACGGAAATACGCTTTTGGGATAATGCCCTAATTCTTTATGTCGTAGGAGGTGATTTGAGTATGAACATGGTGAAGAATTTCATGCAGAGAATGTGGAATTTTGTGAAAATACCAGATCTTTATTACCACGACGACGGGTACTTTCTGCTCAGATTCAATTCCCAGAAAGACAAGGAAACTGTGATGATGAAAGGTCCGTACACGATTCGAAATATGCCCATGATACTGAAGGAGTGGCAATCAGGGTTCAACCTAAAGAGGGACCTGCTAAGAACACTCCCAATTTGGGTAAAACTCCCCCAACGTCCCTTGTAGCTATGGGGCGAAAAAAGTATGAGCAAGATTGGTAGTGCCATAGGTAAACCCTTGGTGACTGATGAATGCACGGCGAACAAGCTCTGGGTATCTTATGCAAGGCTACTGATTGAAGTGGACATTACACAACATTGATTGACGAAATAGCCATAAGAAATGTGGAAGGCGGTGTAATAATGCAGACTGTGAAATACGAATGGAGGCCAACTTTCTGCGAAACTTGTCAAAAACTGGGGCATACATCTGAAGACTGAAGGTGAGAAAATACTTAGAAGGGGGGTTGAATAAGTATGAAGATAAAAACTTAGAAATAAAAACTCAAGTATTTTTATCCTGGTTCATTGAACTCAACTACTTCAGTCCACCCTTCCTATAGTGATTTGCCTTTCTCAATCAAGGACTTAATCCACTATTTAATCAACTGATTACAATAGTAAGCACTAAGAACAATTGTTCAAAGTCTTCTCAAGAACTACTGATCCTAACTGGATCTTCTTAAGGTTTTCTTACAATCAAATGTAATAATAAATACAAGTGTTTAAATTGCCTCCAATAAAGCTTTATCACAAATGTGATTTTTCACTTAATATTAAGAACAAAGAAATTAATTCTAGAAAGAATTGTGAATTGTATGAGAGCTTTGGATATTGAATTCTTTTCAGGTAAAACGTCAACTGAAGAAGATGGTTGAAGACTTGCTTTTATAGGCACATTGATCCAAGAGTACTTCATGTTGAGAAGAGTGTACTAAAAGGTCTGAGCCTTTTTGTCTTCACATCAAGTGACCTTTCCTAGAAGAAGAAAGCACAGAGAAATCCTTTTTGTCTGTGTTCTTGTGTCTAGCATAAATAAGGAAAGAGTCGTTTGTATATTCCAACGGACATAATCTTTGAATTCTTCTTCATCAATTTTCACCAAGAATCATCAGAGTCTAATTTGATCAGAGCCTTCTGATGTTGATCAGTGTTTGCTGAATCAGAGTCTTTGCAGTAGGTGTGCTTTTAGCGTGTAAAAGTTCAGAGCATATTTGAGTCAGATCCTCAGTACTGGCAGCTTTAGTACTTTCAGAATCTTCTGTAGTAACTATGC